GTAGGAGTAGGAGTAGGAGTAGGAGTAGGAGTAGGAGTAGGAGTAGGAGTAGTAATAGTAGTAGTAGTAGTAGTAGTAGTAGTAGTAACTAGTAGTAGTAGTAGTAGTAGTAGTAGTAGTAGTAAGAAGAGAGCAAGAGAGTAAGAGAGCAAGAGAGCAAGAGCCAGAGTAAGAGTAAGAGTAAGAGTTTCAGTAGAGGAGTAAGAGTAAGAGTAAATAGTAATTAGTGCATAGTACATCGTGAATAGCAAGTAGTAAATGGAAAATGGTTATTCGTGAGTATTCAACTGTAAGTAGTAGATCGTAGATAGTAGATAGTAGCTCGTAAATAGTAGCAGTCACAGCAACGGGTTTTTAGGTTTTCGCTTTTTTTTGTTTTTGTCTTTCGATTTTTCGTGTTTTTCGACTTTTGCGCGCTGCGCCCAGACTCCGACTGTGCACGACGTGCAAAAGGCTCGCTTAGAAATTAGGGTAGAAACATGTGGAAACTGTCGAGATCGCCGTTGTGTCGTTTTCCTTTAGTGCCGGTGTGTTTACACACCAGTAGATAATGCTATCGACATAGGTGAGCAGCGTGACAAAAAGCGGTAGACCTAGTTCAATGTTGTCCAGTAAACCGGGACGGCATGAGATATCCACAGGCAAAGTTACCATGCTAGTGTGTACATCATCATAGAGTTCTTTGCTTGGCTCCGTGTTTACACGTTAGGCGCTCCGATGGTTTTGTAGCACTGTGCTATCTCGGTCTTACTCCCTTCGCAGATAACACTGTGAGCGGCTGTCCAAGGTTGGGCTCATCTTGGCATGCTCTTCGGTTTGGCCCGTGCCGGAGATTTTCCCGGACGCATGCCCGTCGGATTGCATATTTTGCATTCGGCTAAGGAAGTGTACCGCAAAATGGTGATGGCCAGCATCGAGGCGATTCTCATGGTAGTGCTGTGCAGCTGCATGCTGAGATGCTGGATCTAGTGCACCGCAATGACTCACACAGGATTATTTCGACTACCTTGACACACAAAGCACATTAGTCCCGGCCTGAGGCACAAAGGAGTACATTCAGCAGCTTGGGCGCTTGTAGGTCAGGAAGAGGCAAGCCATGAAGAGTGCTCAAACATGTGTAATTGCCTGGTCAGCACGACCCGCTAACGTTTAAGCTGTGCATGCTAGCCTCGACGGTGTCCGATCCCTTACGGACTAACAACACACTGCACACAGCCTGGAAGCAAATACCCGCCGACCAGCCTTCCAATCCGAGTCACACCAAGGCAGTAATGAGCTTGTCAGACTCGATGGCCACATGGCTGCACTATGCTGCGCTCAACATGCCGACAGCTTTCGGTTTGCATGGGCTTTCATTTCCGATCAGGCACAGTTCTCCTCGTATCAACGAATCTTCATCTCCTACGCTCACATTCTCTTTATGCCGGAGCCCAAGGTGACATGACAAGAGCTTCAAGTAGGTTTTACTCCAGGTATTTAGAAATCTAAGGTTGTTTCAAAGGTGGGTAGTTCACCTTCTGTCAGATCTTTGTGACCCTCGTGCGACAGAGCACGCATGAGACTCACAAGCAAAGAAAGACACAGCACTTGAATTTACACTGTGCGCAGTCAGTCTTAGCATGATGAACATCTCTTCTTTGTCTGGCACAGGGCCCGCTGCTTCTTGTCCTTGCAGTGGCAGCCGCGACTTGCCATCATCACCTCCACCCTTCAGGCGCTTTGCACACGCCTGTTGGCATATGTCCAGAATTTCAATCTGCAGGCAACGACGGTTGACTTGACCCACTTCTTGATCGCCGGGAACTATGTTTTCGGTGCTAAGCTTGCTAAGCCGTAGTACCACACCGCATCTGTGCCATAAAAACGAGCAAACGCACAGTGTGTGCCAAGTCGCGGAGCCAACAGCGAGACCGCAAGTGCAACCGAAACGTATTCCCTTCTCAACAGTTTCTGGGGAGGCACTTCTGTGACAAAAAAATATCTTGAGATTCCCTGCCCTTTGTAATGGCCGATCGGGGAGACGTAAGTCGGCCGGCCTTGTCTTTCTTCGCCTGAGTCGGATCACGCGTGAAGGGGTTTCGCAAATGGCTGACGGGCGTGGGGACGTCGTTTGCCCATGTTTCGGTTTCAGCGCTTGGCAGCCCGGCCTCCGCTCAAGCCCCTTGAATATCAGGACTGACAGACTCCATTGCTGTGGAGTAGCGGGCCTGAACCCCTAAACTCTACAGAAAGGAATGCTCGAACTCAAAACCCCGCAAACACCCAAGCAGCGAAGCTTAAGCTAAACCCACACCCCTGACATGCAAAAATGGAGGAGGGTAGGAAGTCAAAACCGTCAAGCGAAACCATGCCTGATGCACACGAATCGAGGAATGCGTGGAGCCAGCCGCAATGTGCTGGGCGCTGCGCGGCAACTCCGACCCAAAAGCTTCACATTAAGCGGGTACCCATCACATCCCAACACAATCAACAACACGACATCACTTCCCGATGCATGATGAACGGGGTGCAACCTTAGCATCAAGGCCAGATTCTCGTGAAACGCAGAGGCCCTCCATCTTGCCCATGCGCATGATAGTTTCCGTTATCGTCGGACAGCTCAAACGCGACGTTTCAGTTTGTGTTTTGCGTGCCAAAGCTCATGAGAATACTGCGATGCGCCGCGCGGCCATTGTGCACAGGGCAGGAGCTTTCTAGATACCCGCTGGGTCATCTGGCTGAAGTGCCCAAATATTTCCGGCAACCTGGATGTCCGTTCATGGACAGTTGCATCCGACACCTCTTCTGCTGCTGCTTCGTGCGCACGCGGAGGCTGCTAGCACGTTGCCTCGGAGCATGCGGGAATTTTCGAGTCTGCACCACAGTAAACTAAATTGTTTAAAGCAGCCGCAAAGATGGCAAAATGGCAAGCCATGATCGGTGAAGTGTAGAAAAGAGAACCCTGGTGATCCGCATGTCGGCCATAGGCAAACAGGAACAGTATACCAAACAGTTAGTGAAAAGCAAAGAGGACAGAGGCAGAGTAACTAGTAAGACAATGCAGCAGTAATGAGTAAGACAGTAGCTTGTGAGGAGCCGTTAGCAGACTGTGGAATCGCAAGATTGGAAGTCTGTTTTTCTCCGCGCTTTATCGGATAATGTCCACATTTGTACACAGTATGATGGAACTTTTCGCCGGCATCATCGCAGACATTGAACCAAGTTGGACACATATTCTGTGCCACCGAGCTTGCGACTTTGAAGCTTTCAGGCGAGAACGTTGTGTGGTTGCTGTTTGTTCGTGTGACGGCCGTCAGGGATGGGTGACATTTAACTTTAACCTTGCTCAGGTTCTCATACCCACATGGTTTGGTTTTGCGATTGCCGGCATGATCATGTTTGGACGACGGATGCAGGCCGGGTATAATGCCTTCCAGCAGCTTACATGACACGCGGCCATGTGCAGCAGGTCTTTTCGACCCCCCTGAGTGGCTTTGCCATGCCACTTGGCTTGGTCACTACACGCAAGGCTTGAAAACCGGAAGCACGTAGACCTTGTTGCTGACCAAGGTGCCTCCAGCTTGCATTGGAGGGTGAATACGACTGGGGTTACATGTCCTCAGAGGCTGCGGAGACACTGCTGTATGTGTCAGTACCGATGGTTGTGTAGCAATGCTGATGGTCCCCAGCAATGGGTGAGATTCAGCAGGATTGGTTCATTACGCTGCTGTGGGTCTGGATCTACATGGTTCTGCTGGTATGCTCCCAAGATGACTGTCGAGAGTCCACGTCTCGACGTTGTCGTGACGTGCAGAAGACTAGTCGGTCGAGCTGCAAATGTTTGCCGACTTCAGGTCATGGTCATGTTGAACATGGTGCTTGCTATTATCATGGATGTGTACGCTGAGGCAGCACGTTGCTTATTCCAGAAAGTCTTGCAATGCATAAGCCACTACTCATGAGCTACTGCCTTCTCACGCCGTGGAGCTCTCTCTGCTGAGTTAAGTCTCTTAATTCACATCCGGTTTGAGATTCAGTCCATGGCCTCACTGTCGGCCAGGTGCGCCGTCAACAAGGTGAAACCATGTCTATCTTCCAGCATTGCCAGTGCCTCAGTGTTTCGTTGAGTCATCGCACTGCTGTTTGTGCAAATCGTGCTACCAGCAGGCGACCGAACTTGCTGTCTGCACAGATCGAACATTTCGCCGAATTCAGCGCATAGAGCTAGCACTGAGTGTAGTTATCGCTACGAGGTGCAGGCAGCTTGTTTACACGATCACCTGCAGCTGCAAGTGTGCCGCGAGCTGCGACTTTTATGAACCTCTTTGCAGGCACGTACCTGTTCAAAAGAGCACTATATTTCAAGAATTGGGCGCCGTCCTGAGCTGGCTTGCTCTGTTCATCTAGCAGAAGTTTGGGCCAATCTACTGTGTGTGTGTGTTGTGATCGATGCTGAAAGGTTCCAGATAGAGAGCTGCTCGAGACTCAGTCGTGCAGTTCTAGGGAAGCATACTTGCATTTTGAACAGCGAAACTGTATTTGCCCCCTTCAGCATGTCTCCACTCGGCTTCCAAAACATTGTCTGAGGTGGGAGCGTGTGGCAGAGATGCCGGAGACCATCATCGTGGATGATATACTTGAGGTCCAGCAGGAAAGACGGCCCTCTTATGACATTAAAACCAATCTTTCAGGCTTATCCGAACATGCCCGATTTCCAGTGGGGGCTCCCAAGAAGAAGTCCGCCTCGCCTCGGCGAAGGCGCTCCCAGTGTTTGCCTCGTACCACGAGGCTGAGCTTCCTCTGCGACGGGGCGAGAAATCGAACAAGGGTCGCTATCTCACACTCATTATTCTTTCTCTTGCGAATTTTCCCAAGCATGCGAAGACTTAGGTGATCCAGCGAGCGGGTATCGACCCAACGTATACCGTCCAAATGGTCGCTGCAATCCATATCAGCCTTGAAGAGGCGCCTGCCACAAGATTCACAGGGCTTTGAACAAATTCCCCGGCCGGGCACCACTCAGAATTTGGGCAACCACAGATCATGATGGACCTCATGAAACTCAAGAAACGTGGCTGGATGGGAAAGGGCTTCGAGGCACGTTCGCCTGTCATTTGAGCTTTTCCTGTGTCAATCTGTGTCACATTCTTGCTGCTACTGTGAGGTTCCCAGTGACGAAGACAGGAATCTCGTGAAGGAGCAAGAGTCAGAACGAGCAAGGGGAGCATAGACATGGAATGCAGGTAGTCTGCACTACATCGGGATGGCATGAGCAAGATGATGTGACTGAAGTGTCATAGCCGTGAGGAAATCCTCGCCGGCATTGCAGTGCAAAGTGAGTGGATGTTGAACGCGCAGAAGCATGTGCACGGATCCTAAGAGGGCAAGATGCCGGCTTACTATTAGCAGCACAGAGCTCAGAGTGCTACGACACCACAATGGATCAGGGCTCCGTCCATTGGGTCCATTGCAGCAAGACACGGATGAGGAGGAAGACGATAGGAAAAGCCAACGAGCCACCTGCAATCGTGTCCCTCGGTGTCTACACCCCATTACTTCGTGATACTCATGCCGGTCACAATAAGCAGATATAAGCAGCCTTTCCACCCACATGTCCATCAACGAATCCCATCTTTCGCTCAAATGACTGAGCAACGTACCGCACAAATTCATGTCCTCAACGCGAGCACTAGTGCAGTTGCGGAATGAGGCCATCTTACATCGTTAGAGTTCTTCAGTTTCCATTCCTGACATATCCTGTGAAACTGGGGAAGCAGTGGGTGACAGCTCGGTGGTGTACTGGCTTGGGCTTGACATCACGCCCTTCAAGTATGCGGGTGAGGGATGGGTGATGCCTGTGACGCGCACTAGCTCAGCGGCTTTTCGGTGCCCGACGGCTGCGCGACTGTTTACAGGCATGCCGACAACACAATCCCCTTCCTGAGGCAAAGTCTTCAAAACCTGGATTCTTATCCAGAGTACATAGACATGAACCACGAACAGAGACAGACGTGTATGAAACTTCAGAACCCAAGGCGATTCAGCATTTTTCTTCTAAATTCGGGCACAGGCCGAATTCGTGAAGTGCAGCACACATGTAGCAACGTTTAGAGGCTTGCGGTTCGTGGCCTGCCGCCACGACACACTAAGGTCACAAACCACCATCGTGCACGCCACACGAGCATCACATCTTCCTTTCGCTCCCTCTCCCTCTCTCCTCTCTCCTCTCTCCTCTCTCCTCTCTCCTCTCCCCTCTCCCCTCTCCCCTCTCCCCTCTCCCTCTCGCTCTCGCTCTCGCTCTCGCTGTCGTTCTCGCTCTCGCTGTCGCTCTCTCTCTCTCTCTTCCCTCCTGCCTCCTCTCACCGCCCCCCTCTCCCCGCTCTTCCCTGTCTTTCCTCTTTGCCCTTTCTCTCTTCCCTCTTTCCCTACTCTCTCTCCTGCCCTCTCTCCTCTCGCTTTCTCCCCTGTCTCCCCTCTCTCCCGTCTGCCTTCCCTCCAGTCCTCTCTCTCCTCTCTGTTCTCTCTCATCTCTCTCCTCTCGCGCTCTTCCTTTCTCTCTTCTCCCCTCTCTCCCCTCTCCACTTTGCCCCACCCCTCCCCTCCCCTTTGTACCTTGGCTGCACTCAGACACTCCCTCGTGAACCCTTCACGGAGGGCGGCTGTGACGTTTGGAGCCGCTGAGATGTGGCGGGGGTAAAGGTGTGGTCGGGTACAGCGACTGCTGTGTACCTCCAACCAACCAGCCAACCTCCATCCACTTTTGATTCCCACAGTATTTCCTTGGCATGCCACGTGCCCATGCCTGCCGGTCCTGACCCTGCAAGATGCTCTGTGGGGGTGGGCCAAACGTGGCTATGCATCGAGAGCGGGCAATGTGGCCTCTGAACAGCTATGAGGTCGATGATGTTCCGGGTAGAAGGCTGAAGGCGCTAGACTTCCGTGGGCGAGCATGCATCAACAACGAGATACATGATCTTCCTTGGCAACGCACAGGCTCAGGACTGTATTGAGCCAGCCAACAAGTTTCGGAGAGGCCGCGAGCTTGCAGATTCCAGCGAAGCCGATCTGCTTGATGGTCGTTTGCTTGTAGGTGTGCTTCCTTATCGTATTCTCGTAGGATAGCAACAGGCCTCATTGGACCTTAGCCGTAGCCGACAGCAGTAGTCGCCCAAGAGGTAATCCTTGTACATTTTCGAACAACTGGAAGTTGATATCCTCGAGCTCGGCTCGGCTTGGATGGTGACCGGATGGTGTAGCCTGATCATCAGGATCGAGCTCTGCATGACCGTTAGCCTTAGCCTGAGCTGCTCCGGGTTAGATAGCCGGCATAGCCGCCCCTTTGGAGGTAGCCCTCTTGAGGAAAACAGTCCCATTCCGGAACTAGAGTTTCTGGATCTATCTCGTCCCCGGATAGCACTTGCAGCTCCTCGCTCAGCGGCTCAGCGCGAAACTGTCCAGTCTCTGGATCGTGGAGCTTGCGCTTTGTGCAAAAGCTTGCCGCATAGCCATGCAGTCCGTCTGCGGGATAATTGCGCCGACTCTCGCACCTCGTTAGCCGCCTAAAGCTCGCGGGGACGATGCAGGTACGGGGACAATTCACGGGCATGATTTGTGGTTCTAGCCCGACCAGCTTGCCATGTCAGCACGAAGCAAGTCGCTATTTTGCGAGTTGCAAGGCTAGCCGACATATTTGGCCACGGTGTTTGTCCTGGCCTTGAGCAGGGTAGCCTGGGCTTTATCCCGCGCCCGGTGCTGACTTCGTCTTCGAGGGGCTACCGCAATTCGACGGGGACAGCTACTACACTGGACCGCTGTCCAAGCCGCCGACGGCTACGGCGCCGCGCCATGCTGGGCTAATCACTTCTGCAGCGTCGGATATCTGGCCGTCCAAAACGTGCGAATGGATAACCCAGCTTGCCTTGGCTACGTGTGCTTCCTCTGCCGCGACTGCCGTTCCGGATAGAGGGGATGCAGCACAAGCGCCAGGCGGGTGCTATGCCGATGGTCCCTGTTGGGACTGGCTAAGCCTGAAGCTCTGAGCGCAACCAAAAGGATGACACTCACCAGACACAACTCCATGTCGAACTTTCCTGCAACTGCTACCTCAGGAATGACATGAATGTTTGCACTTTACTGATTTAGCTTCTTCGAATGCACGCTAGGAAATGTATCCGGCCTGACCGGAGAGCCACGATGGTCGCTGGCTAGAGCACACCGCAGCATAAAGGTCGCTGAACTGCTTGCCTTATCTGGAGTCAAACATATAGAGTTGGAGCCACATCAACAGAAGCGGAAGGGTCGAATTGTTTCACACATAATATCGCTCTGTTCGATGATACGGCGACATCGCCGGCAGCGCTAATTACTGTCATTGAACTTGACGTTGTGGTCTGGTTGTCGCAAACGCTCCACCTTGACAAGTAGTGATGCCATTGAAGCAAGTCCTCCAAGAAGCATTAGAGGAGGATACTTGGGTTGTGCCCTTTGAGCTTTGCGACATGTGTGTGTGCTAAAGTTGACCGGAATGCCAAAATCGCGGTAAAGTGTCGGAGCTTTGACGGCCATGCCACCCATTAACGGGTATTTATGGCAGGAACACTTGGCACAACAGCTAAAGTCCTCAGGCGGAGACAAAAACTCCAGTCATCCGTCCAATTGGATGTTTCGGGTAGATGGTCAAATCATGTTTTGAACATCTGCGTAGATCTCGTAGATGACTCGAGCTTGGCGGGCAGTGCAGACCTGCGTATGGCATACAGCAAGGGTTTTCGGGAAAATATTCGTAAGCATTTCAAACTTGATCCCGAAATCAAGATTGAGGATGGAGCCGGAGCCAGGGTCCTCGGTAGACATCACACCATACACCGAAGTCCAAGTCAAACGGCTTTTACATCTGATATGCATGCATATGCGGAGCAAGTTGCCCGGGTTAGATCGTAAGAAGTTTCGTAAAGCGCATGGTCTTTCTTGCGCAAGCATGGCTCATGAAGACTTAGCCATCGCGGGTTATCTTGGGAGCGTCGTCGCGCGCATCCTGATGAAAATGCTCTGTCTTGCGAGGCTGTCACGACCAGATCTGTACTTCCTTACAGGCAGACTTGCTCCAAAAGATACGCGATGGATGGGAGGATAAGGTTTTGTTCAGGGCAACATCCATCTAAACGGCATTGTGGATCTTCGCTTGGGTTATAGTCGCAAGACAACTTACCAGCAGGACAACCAAATGTTGTCAACGATTCCCGCAAGTGGCTATTACAACGCCAAAATCAGCATAGCCTCTATGTCTGAGCAGACCGATGACGACCTTACGGTTGCCACGTGCTGCCCTACCAAGCAGCAACTAGCAATCGGACTCACCAAGGTTATCAACCCGTCTGAGGAGCCCGAAATTCTTGTGCAGTTTTGTCTGAAGCCGGTTCCTAGTCAGGATAAGGCTTTAGTCATCATTGCTGATACGTTGTGCGTGCTGAAGCGTTTGCTGGCTGCCTGCCACAGTGCGCTACAAAACACAACACTTGGTGCAACTCCTGTCGCGCCTACCACGAGAACATCTGCAAGAGCAGATGATGCAAATGAAAACACATTCTTTTGCATCGGGCCGGGTGCTGTCGTTTACGGAGGTATCACAGACGTAAGAAGCTTGATGCGAATGTTCCCGAAATCGACTCCTGTAATCACCAGATTCTTTGCACAAATCAGGCCTTCGCACGATTTCACCACCGTGGTTCTCCGAAGCGTTGGCATTGCTCAGTTGCAAGCAACTATCCAGGCGAAAGATTCACAGCAGCTGCATTCAGCGTCAGAGATTCTCAGAATATCAGTCCTGACGAATGCTTCACGCGACGCGAGCTAGGATTCAGACTTTAGGGTCCATAGACAGCGGTAGATAGATGTATGTACACATTGTTCTGTACATGCCGAAGTTCTTTGATGTGTCCAAGAGGGGGGAGTTAATGAAGCACGCAGCCCGGACAAGTTTCCCGCAGTCGTACGACATTGGCTCAAGCTCAAGGAAATGCGTGTCGCGCACTATCTGTAATGTTTCCTTGCTAGCACACGTGTTTCTTCGTGTTTTTCTGTTTTCAAGAGGTGCCAACACGTCTGCTGTAGTGGTTTTGATGCATAAACGATGACAAAAATCAAAAACGATAACCCAATTCCGGGACAGGGAATTTTAGGGGTGATATTTCACAACCTCAGGTGCGAACATTGAGCCTTGGGGTGAAGGTCTTCACAGCCCTGGAGTGATGCTGGCCACAAGGTTTTGCAAGATAGATTGCAAAACCAGTTGTTGAGTTTACAAAATGCAAGCTGCTTGAAACTCTAGCAACCCTTGGCATGCAGCTTCGAACGACCGCAGCCGAGGTCGTGGCTACACAATCAGATCGGCACAGAAGCGACAGACGGGGCTGGATACGAGTGGAAAGCGACCGGTCCAGCCTGGGCCCCCAGCCAGCGCATGTGTGCATGTTTGCGTGTCCGGCACATCGGTGGCTTTTTTGGCCTTTATAAAAAGACCGTTGCGTAGCTTACATGTAAATGTGTAGGCAGCACGGAACCTTCGAAATTTGGCAGTTCGCAAGCCGATTCAAGCCAACGCATGTGGAGTTGCAGCCCTTTGAAGGTTTAAACAAAGCCCCTGGCATGTCAGAGCGGCGCCGGATGGCTAAGGCAAATGGCTAGGATTGATCATGTTGTCCACGTGGGGTCTTCTTTCCTTGGACTTCATGTGGGCCACAGGCCATTCCCGTGAGGTAAAGGTGCTTGCCAGAAAGCAGAGACGACATATCTTGTATGTGGCCAGCTTGCTGACTGCAGAGCAGGCCAAGGCTCAAGATGAGAAGGCCCTACTTCTGAAGCGCGAGCTGCCACCACTGCCACCAGCATATGCCCGGGATGCGAAGCAGCTCGCTGATGCGATCAAGAACGCTGCCATCACAACCGTGCGGGTGAATCGCCGAGGGGACGCCCAAGCAGCTAGGCAACTACGAAGACTGGAGCAAGATGTGGCCGGAAAGCTAGGCTCTTATGACGGAGATTGGTTGACCACGCAGCTGCAGTTTAAGAAACTCAGCGCAGATGATCAGGCAGTGCTTCAGGAGCATCCCGTTTTCCTTTCCATGAAGGAGTTAGTTGCCAAGTTGCAGTCTGGTGGGTCTGCAGATGTGGATATCACCTCGTTCCGCTTGGATCTTTCACGGCAGGCTGCCTCCATCCTTCAGCTAGTAGAAGCAGCTGGAGTGTCAAAGTAGAGGACATCAAACCACCACAGCTTGTGCTTTAGTTCGGGGACTGCCTCGTACCAGCGGAGCAGGCATGCAAAAGTTGAACGAGCATACGTAGATTCGTGCACAGATGGCAAGTTCTGCTCCATCATATTCTGCATGAGCCTCACGCTTGATGGGCAAAGGTCGAGGTTCCTGTGCCACGAAGCCGACAAGGCTTCCAAATTTTCTGAGATGAGTACATTTCTGTCATCAACTACCGTTAGCGAAAAAAATCAGGAAATGACTGACGAGACTTTTCGCAAGTGGTGGGCAGCCTCAGGAGGCAGTGGCAAGCTTGTGTAGCATCAGAAATCTGCGCGCATCGCTGCCCGAACTGAGGAACGTCGCGTGAGGGGCACACGTTCCAGGTCTGTGATTGAGGTTGTCTTAACACTGAAGCTTCGGGACACGCGTAATAATATAATATGGGTTTTCACAACTGGGGCTTTGGGATATGCGTGATATGTTAGTGACGGCTTGTGCACATGTGTATTTCGTTGGCCTTTGGGTCGAACCTGAAACGCGTGTGAGCAGTCGCTTGCTTGGTTTCACCGTGTCACTTTCCAAAGGCCATCCGAAGGAGGCTGATGAGGCATTGATTGAGCCTATGAGCCTGCAGTGCCTGCGTTGAAGAATAAACAATCCAAACAATCAAGCCATTCAAGACGTTTGTGCTTGACAGACCTATTGACAGACCTATCCTCATGTGGCAAAATGCAGCAGTGTTGATGATGTGCTGACCGTCTCAAGATAGCATAGCAGGACCTGGCAGCATCTGCATAGCCTTGTATATCCAAGTCTCCTAATATCTCTGATGAAGACCCCCGGTTAACATGAAGCTGCAAAGACACTAAGTACGTAGAGAGATGGTTCTGCTGATCTTGCGGCCTTCCTTGCGGGGATCCACGGCACGCTCTACGCCCGGCATCACTCCAGCTGGCAGGGGGTCGTCACTCCTCGAAAGGCTGACTTCGAGGAGCTCCAGGAGCTTTCCGCAATGGCGGCCATGGCTCGGGTCGAGATCTGTGTCCGCGAAATGGGTGATGCGGAGTTCGCCCATCGACGCCAAGCCGTCCAAGGCCAAGCTTGTGCGCGGCTTGGTGGTCGCTTGGATCCAAGACTACAATAGACTACACAAGAGTTCCTGGAGCCTTTCCGGCTTAAGGAGTTCTAGAGGTAGCCTGCTTCTGCCAGTGCTTTGTCGCTTGTAAAATCTTGTAAACCTCAAAGAGCGCCCTGCGAGCCTTTTGTCGTCAAGGTCACCTTTCTGAGCCTGGGGGTTGTTGTTGCTCTGACGACGAACCTGGATCTTCCTCCCAGTTTCGGACTGATTGCATTCGGCCTGCAGTGGGGCTTCTTCCTGCTCCAGGGTTGGCCACAACGTTGCTTGGTTGTGTCTGCAACGTTCTGTGTTGCCGCACGCGTTTGCGACACATGTGCACGGCCTCGAAGCATTGCGGATGCTCCTAGGTTCCGAGAAGCTGTATGATGCCTCAGGCCATGAGCCATCATGAGCCACGAGCTGTGACGCCACAAGCTTACACGTTGAAGCAGAGTGCAGTTGTGCGCTATCCGGAGGCTCATTGACACATCTGTCGATTATTCTGGCGGCTCTCCTTCATGATCCAGTTCGGAGCCCTCGCCAGATCCTTTTGAGCATCTTTGCAGTCGTGTGGTGTACACGACTCGGAACCTTTCTCTTCAACCGCATTTCCCAAGACTCGAAGGCCCCATGGCCAAAGTCAAACACAACGGCAGTGCTGTGCGCAATGCTGTGCAGGATTCCAGGTTCACGGAGTTGAAGGAGGAGTTCTGGTCTTTCTCCATCGCGTGGAACTTGCAGGTGTTATGGGTCTTCCTTCTTGAACTACCAGAGACTTGCAGGCATTAGTAACATTAGTACGTGCCTTATCTTTGGCAATGCTGAAGGTCATGCTGGTAAACACGTCTCCTCAACCACCCACTGGTCTTTGGGATGTGCTGGGCTGGTCGTTGTGGTGCTCTGGCTTTTTGCTGGAGGCCGTCCTAGCCCCAGGGCGGGGTAAAGCAGGGCTTGCGCCTGGTCGCTTAGACCCCATGTCTGGCTGGACCTGGCGACCGAGGTCGCAGATGGCCAAAAGTTTGCTTTTCGAGGAGATCCATCAAACCGGGGACGCTTCATTACCACAGGTCTATGGAGATACTCGCGACATCCAAATTACTTTGGGGAAATCTTGATGTGCATCTGCTGCATTTTGGCTTCTTTGCACCCTTCGGTGGGGCGTCGCCCATGTTTCGACTTGAGGTGGATTGGTCTGTGCACGTCCTTCACATCCTGCGTTTCTTGCAAAGCTCAGCTGCTGGCCTGGATTTCGCCTGCGTTCAATGCACTTCTCCTCATTTATGTCGCAAGCTTAGCCAACACGACAGTCGGGACAATCACCTGGTGCATGCAATTGCTTGTAATTTCTTGCCCTAACACGCTGAGCACAGAGTTCTCTGTGATGCATTTTTGTCTGGTTTCCACTCATGTCTATTGCATCCAGTCCAGCTGGTTACGCTAGTTTCTGCCTGGCTGCAAATCATGTTCTGCGTCGCAATTTATCGCCAGAGGTCTCGGGCGTGCCACTCCTGGAAAAGGCAGGAGCAAAGAAGTGGGGCCAGGAGCCGGAGTACCGGCACTACATGGAGGACCCAGCATTGACAGATTTGCTGCAACTTGTGTGTGCAAGAGTCCCACGATCGATTGCACGACTTGATGTATGGTGCGTGTTTCCAAGTTCATCGCTCGACCCGAGTCGTCACATTGCGCGTGGAACAACATGGAATTTCTCCCTCCCCTCCACTCGCGTCCCGTCCCGTCCCTCAAAAAGGGGGAGGGAGGGAGGGAGGAGGATGATTTTTGATTTATTCTGATATATTTTGAGGCTGATGATGAGGATGGCGGTTAGAGGTGGTGATAGAAGTGGTGATGGCGATGGCGCTGCTTGTGGACATGCACTGGTGCTGTGCCTGGTACTTCGGCTATTGTTGTTCTCCTTGTTGTTGTTGTTGGTGGTGGTGGTGGCGATGATGGTGCAGCTGAATAAATACTATATATACTCAATGCACCTGACATGGATGCGTAATCCTGCTGCAGAACACTTCTTGCATCGTTCCATGGGTTCCAGCTCCAGAGTATCCCGGCAACGAATCTGAGGCGGGGAGTGGAGTGTAGTTCAGCATGGCATGCCCAAAGAGGCATGCCAATTCATTGTGCTGTATTGTCATATCCGGCATCGAACTGACCCAAAATGGGTGAACATTAAGGAACATGACAGGATGCAAGCTGTTGTGTGGCTAAGCAGCGTCGCCATCGACGGCTTCGTTTATCTCTGGCTCCAGCTGTTTGCCAAGTTCACTGAACTGTAATGGTAATCGGGGATTAGCAAAGCCCTGTTCAGTTTTCTTGTGTTTGTTAAGTCTGTTAGAGCCATGCCACGAGGACCCACGTGAAAGGTTTGTGCACACTGCTTCTTTGCAGCGTGGTGAGAAAATCACGCTTCCATAGCAACCTCGCGCAATAACAGGGAAGACGGGGAAGGGAAGGAGCGAGAGAGCTCAAGCCAAGCAGAGGGATGGGATCGCCTTGCATTCCTTGACGAGGCAACGTTGATGTGCAGGCATATTGACTCCCACATGTTCACAGCTCCAGGCTGTCATCTGACAAGATGGGTCCAGCTCTCGATCTAGGCCCGAGGCTTGCTCGTGTCTCAATTTCGTTGAGAGTTGACCCGAAGTTGAACAGGGCTCAACCTTGTCATTTTCTTCGCTCTACTGGCGATGGTGGGCAGCTCAAAACCGCTCGCTTTGTGGCTGGTTTTGCGGTCCTGCGTGTGCCATTGTGACCTGCCTCGTCTAGACTCTAGACTGCAATGTTTGTTTCGAGCGTGCTTTGGGACCATCGCGGATGCGACTTTGGCTGTACTTCGAAGGGACCAAACATCAAGCTAGTCAGCACGGTCCGCAGCCAAGGACATTCTGAAAGCCTGGTTTTATGCTTCTGTCGCAGTCGAGTGCCGTCGCAGCTTGAAGTCAGCGGACCATTCGTAAACTCTGCAACACTTCTCAGCCGAGAGCTGTTTCTGCCCACTGGAGGCTGTAGGCGTCACTTTCGCGGCTGGGATAGCTGTTCCTTGTTTGCTGCCAGCATGGTTGTGCAGGCAGAAGGGTAACCATAACCTGCACTACTCAGACTTTGGATTGAGATATCTGACCGTTGCTGGCAGCCGTGTGGATCCTGCATTTGTTGATGTGATGACCTTGTTTGCCCGGGAGTGTTTGTAAGCCAATAGGCCGTACTCGAGGATGATAGTCAAAAGCAGAGCTAAAGCTTTACGGCGGGCTGGCGGGCTTTCGTCGGCTGAGATCACTCAGGCCGTCTGCATCTTCAGCGTTCCCGGCTGGGGCTCGACACAGCAGCGGCCTTGCCCTTCTCGCCTCGACCTTGTCCCAGGCAGCGACGAGAAAGCCTCAAAAGCATCTTCACATCGCAAAAGGCACTTCTGTGCCACGTGTGGATTGCTATGCACTCCGGAACGTGCAAGAGACCAAGCCGACAGGCTGGCAGATTTGGGTGACGAGCAGGACTGGGCCCAGCCTGCGAGGAGTCCTACATAGTCCTACATGAGTTGATCTTCTTCCTGGCAGGAGTCTCCGCTCGAGCGGGGGCAGCCCGACTCAGATCCTTTGATGACCCTTGCCGAGATGAGACTTGCCCTTGAGGCAGCGCTGTTTCGGCACCGTGCAGCGCTACTCTGAACGAAACGGCCGCAGCCTTTGGAAAGACTTTTGGACCTCTCGATCCTGCAAAACCCAGCCCGCCAAAGATCCCTTGAATGGAAGTTCGCGTCGGCCTGTATGTGCACCTAAGACATCCCTAGTTCTCCCAGCTTGCTGCTTGTACAGGTTAGCTAACATGTAGGCTTGAAGCCACCACTGTTAGCCATGCAGTCTTCCAGGCATTGGCTTCATTGCATGTGCTCCCTGCAGGGCCCGTATCTCAAGCAAGTCCTGAGCTGCGATCAAGCACTGTTGTAGCCGCACGCCACTGAGGCTGTTTATGGACGTGATGTACAGTTATTTCAAGAAGACTGGGAGGACGGTTCCTCATGCTTCGACAGTCACAGCGCAAATGCTAAGCGGCAGTCTGTGGTCTCGTGCAAGCCTCGTGCCTTGGTTCTGGGTGATGTCAGGTGCCGTGCTTCGGAATCGTATGTCGTACGCCTTTTCAAAAACAGGCCAGGACACCAGCCCCGAGTCGGGATAAGCTCAGTCATGAACTACCAAAGCACCTTTTTTTCTTACGTGACGTCGTGTAGGCGAGACGATCCAAAGCGAATCCACTCATCAAGCAATGGCAACAATTGCCCTCGACACTGCTTCACATGTGGCAGCAGACCAGTGGACAAGGCTTTGCAGCTCACAGTTGGATCAGCTTGGGCCCCAGCTACGGCACCAAATCAGGTTTCACAGTGCTGTGAAAGCGTGAAAGCACGTAGCTGTGCAGTATTGTGCAGTTCTGAGAATTTGTTTGAGGCCGTCAGTTTCCTTCTTAGCGTGGAAGAGCGTTTTCCGTGCCCGAAGGGGAGGCTCATCTCGTGCTTTGCCCCTGTCATCTGACTCGTCCATGCACGTGGCGGCGCAGGCCCTGGGCTGCAGATGTGCAGCGAGTTAGGCGATGGAAATCTTGCAAATTTCGACCATGAAAGCACATCGCGACTTGGCAGGTGAGAGTGTCTGCTTGCCTTCGGTTGCGCTGTGACGCTATTGGACGATGGGGCTTCAGAGCTCATGTAAATAGCCGCCACACTACCGAGCTGTTAAATAATCAAGCTGGCATGTCTTTGCAAGAAGTAGGTTGGACTCTGCAAGGCCGCAAGAGAAGGCTCTCCAGGAACAGGATATAACTTATACAACCGCATGTTAGCAGTCTGAAATTCGTTATGCCTTTGAATCTCGCAGCCTTGCCAGTTCAAGGGTGACGAACCTTGTCAGATCTTGTCACATGTGTGGTAGAGCCAATCCAACTGCTGCGCAGTACTCTCGGAGAGCTGGAAAAGCACCGAAGACAGCCGGTCACATACTGAACATGTATGCAGGATACCTATGTTTGTTGACAATCTGCGCAATGGTTCCAGGGCACAGCTTGGCTCGAAGCTCCTTGGACGCGCTTGCGGACGCCGCCTGCCCCGCATGCTCCGCTCGCGCGCTCCCGTGGCTCAGGTCCTACGTGCTGGGGTCGGCGCAGCTGGGACAGCTCAGGCCTTTGCCTCAGCTCTCCTTCGCTTCACTTCGCTTGACGACGCTTTCTCCACAGTCGCGGAGGGACTCCGCGAGCTTGGCTCGGCAGCTCGCGGAAAACCCCGGGCGAGTGGCAGCCCGGGTCCGCCACCAACTCCGTGCGCGACTCCATGCAGACGGCTACCTGTACCTAAGGCACGGAATATCACGGAATCCAAAGCATGTGTGTCGCGAAAGCCAGCTCCTTTCAACCTTGCTGGAATTTTTGTATACAGTTTTGGTTCAAGATCAACAGTTGGGGAGTCCTTGTTCATCCCTGCTCCGGATACATCAGGGATCTGAGCGTCAGGGCGCTCTTCCCATAGATTGCAAGGCTGCTCTCTTGATTAGGAGGCCCTCCTTGAGGCCCTCCCTCCCCGGTTCAAGGAGTGCAGCAGAAGGCAGAACCGCTATTAGGCGACATAGCTACAGCATACAAGGAGCCTGCATTATTCACATTCGACTGCTGTCCCACTGGCCACTAGGTTTCTTCTGCACCCTTAAGTCTCCAACGGTTTTCGGCTTCCGGCTTTATGACTGCAGGAGCTTCTTGCCAGAGGGCACTGTTGGCAAAGCGCGCTTGTCGCTGCTTCGCCAATTTCAACGTGCTGGCTTGCTGGCAGACGGCTGTCCACCTGGGCAGGTGGTCGTAGTTTGCCGACTCTGATGTGCAGACAAGTTCATTTGTGTGTGATCTTGTCTGTGATCTTCTGACGGCATCGATGAGCGCCGATGTTCGATAGAGCTCCATGTCATGCGCCGTGTTCCTCCATTCAAACAGGCGGTATGTGGAGCAAACATCGAAAACGGCAAGCCCGAATGTTTCTGCTCGGAAGAGGTGTTGGACGTCCTGAATGATGGTGAATCTCGCCGGATTTCAGCATCTCACACGGACATACACGGACAGGCTTGTGCGGCAGCAGCACAAACAACAACAGTCCTGCAGCAAAGGACTTGTTTCAGTTCTTGGACTCTTTGTTTGGAGACGCTGTGGAAGTGGTCTTCGATTCAGCCAACCTGCGTGCTGTGAAGCCGGGGCAAGGCACTGGATTCCACACTGACTCTGCCACGCCCTTGGTCAGTGTTTTGTTTCACAAGTATGAGCATGATATGTAGTCGCTACACTGCTACACATTCGCATGCCTTTTCGTTGTAGGTCTACATGGGCAAGCTGATGGTACCTGGCCGACCCCCAGTTCTGGCATGCTGGATTGCTCTGATGCCAATTTCCCTCGAGTTGGGGGGCCTCGTCCTGTGCCGGGGTTCCAACTCACATCCAGGAGCTGCAGCAAAGAATAGAAGATGGTCCCTAGAGGGATGAATTTAAAGCTCCGTGCTTCAACTCGCTACATCTCAGATCTCAGAAGGCTTCTGAGGCTTCTGTTTCTGTTTCGCACTTCCCTAAACCCATGAAACTTCTGGAGCAGCTGCCAGTGAAGTGAGGGGCGAGTGCAGTGGTTGCAGTGCCAAGTGCAACTTGGAGCCGTGAGGATTTGAGACTTTGCGAAGAACTTACGGAGAGCTGGACTTGGATGAGAACGACATTGGGGGCACTGGTTGGTTTTCCGAGGATCCCGAAGAAGTTACTTGACCGGTTAGTAGACTTGGCCACTCAGTGAAAAGCACAAAGCCACTTGCTCGTGGGTGAAGTGTGAGGACGTATTCTGATGTGTGTGTGCGCGTGTGTGTGTGTGTCACTGTGGCAGGTCTCAAAGTTGGGCGGTCTCTGGGAAACTGCCGCATATGGGGCAGGACAGGAATGAGCTCTAACAGTCCATAGTCCTGACGTGAGTTGCTAACTTGGATTTCTCTCGAAGGAGACGTTGTGCTTTTCACAATGCACACCATACATGGCAGCTCCACGAACCGTACAGATTCGTGGCGCCTCTCCGTGGACTTTCGTGTTCAACCGTGTCATGCACCGCCGACACTGGTTTCCCAAAACAAGGGCAGGCAGAGCGGCAGACGTGTTTTGAGTTATCTCGCATCAACCCCCCTGCCCCCGAGCCGGGGCAGGTGGTCTCGGCTCCGTCATAGCCGATCGGACTTTCCACGTAGTATGGACGAGGCGCATTTGAAAGCACATGGAAGCAGTCACCATTGGCCGTGCGACGGAAGCTCTTTCGAGTCTGAGGCCAAGACTGCATGGAACCTGCACGAGGCAAAGAAACGATGGGTTCTGCTCACGGATGCTCACGGAGGGGTCCCTGGTAGGCAGCTCGTGGTTCGAAGCGTCCTGCGGCTGAGCCTCCTGCTACACAGCGAAAACGGCTGTGCGCATGATGCCTCCAGTTGCTGTTTCTTACCGGCTTCTGCTATAAACTTTGGAACGCATCCTTTGGCCCACAGCTGTTGATGCAGATTTGCATCGGCAAAGGAGGTCTAAGATTTGTCCATATGGTCTAGAACACGAGCGGATTCTGTCAGTAAGTATAAGTTTCGCAATACTCAACACTTCGCCTGCGCTTTGCTTGCGATGGAGCTGCTCAATTCAGCGACACAAGCTGCCAGTTTAATGACGCATGCAGGACATCGATGAAGGTCGAAGGCTGCTCATGGCCAGCCATGACGCAGATGACGCAGAAGCAATCTCTTGTTCAGGCGCATCTGGACACTCCAGGGACATGCAAAAGGAGCTGGACGAGTGGCGGCAGCAAAGAGCCAGGCAAGGTAAAGCTAAGGAGAGCACCTTAGAGAGAAGCTTCACCGCTATCACGCCGAAAAAGATGCAGAGGAGGATTCCTCTCTCGCCGCGATGTTCCAGTGTCGACAGCTCGTCCACAACAGTTCAAGAGCGCGACATGCGCAAGGAACTGCAGTCCTGGAAGGAGGCCAGAGCAAGGCAAAGCAGAGGCAAGGAAAACTTGCTTTCTCAGCCATGTCGAGGGGTGAAATCCCAGCGGCCGAGAGCCACTGACATGCGTCGGGCGTCTAGCCCTGCTTCACCCACGGACCCAGGATGCTTTATGGGGAGCCCGGGTTTGGGAGGGAGCGCTGTTGCTGCAGCCATCGCCGCGTTGGAGCCTCCCTTGCTGCTGGCACCACCACCTTCGCCCACCGCTCGGACCTACTCAAACTGCACCGGCCTTGGAAGTGAAAAACAGATAGAGAGGGAGTCCCGTCAGAAGAAAGGGGCAGAACACGGTCTGTGAGGTCCTGGCCTGAGGGACCTGACCCTGCAACCCAGCGTGCTGCATGCTGCGGTGCTGGCGGCATTCTCCGTTGGTGCCTCAGAAATCCTCAGAAGCTTATGCTAACATGGAAGACGTGTAGAGACATGCATGGCAGACCCACAACAGTGTACATTTGGTCTTCGAGTTTTCGTTCTGGTTCGACTCTGTTGTGCCAGTGCTTCCGAGCCAGGGCTTTGTCAACATGCCACAGCCGCCAAGGTCATCCAGACATCACCACACGTGTACAAACCAGAACAGAGTCTCTTGTGGTAACGACTTACTCCTTATTCCACCCCAGCCGCTAGTCCAGTATTGTCATGTATTGTCTAGAACGGTTCATCCTGGAGTATGTTCCCAATCACAACGATGCAGTGGTGAGCCTTGTTTGCTGCATGTGTAGGTGCCGGAAGAGTTCTCCAGCCAATCTTCAATCCAAAATTGTCGGCTCCTCGGACCATCTTCGGACAAGATTTTGGAGCAGCTGGTCTGGAGTGGCTTTGCTGTTCGGCTCAAAGGACATTGCTGGACGTAGTTGCACTGCCAACAGAAAGAGACACCTGTTACCTGGAGCTGGGAACATCATTTTCAAGTTCTCTGCACTTGTCTGTTGGGCCGGGCTCGCGATCGCTCGCTCTCTCCCTCTCTCTCGCGCCCGCTCTCTCAGCTGGAATAGCACTTCAAACAGCAGCTTCTATTTGTGAACGGACCGTTTGCTGAGAAACACAATGCCTAGCCTGCATTGTTGTAGTGACAATCGTCAGCGTGGATGGTGGTTTCTCTTCAAAGGTGTTTTTCGTGGCCATTTTGGTCGCAAGGGCGACACTCAAATTTCAAGGAGGTTGAGTCCAGGAATACGTGAGGTAGCTTGCGCATGGACCTTGCGGTCGTTGCGGCGACTCACGACTGGGATTTCGCCTGGAGCAGCCAATTCGTGAGCTGTCGGGAGGCGTGTGAGGTCCAGGGTTTTGCTGTGGCGACTCCAGCATCTCAGTCCGCCGGGTGCCCTGCAAGGTTTCATGCAGCGTTGTGTTCCAGCTTTCATTACCGGTCGCCACCACCTAGTGGAAACATGCCATTTGCTGGGCGAGGACCCGAAGCTGAAACGAGCCGGTTTGCCAATCGCCGCGGTTTTACTTCCTGATCAAACGTAGACGCAGTCGAAGGTCAGAAAGGGTCTGCTGGCTACCGGCTGGCAGCAGATCGCAAGTTTTTTCCAAAGACTCCTACGGCACATCGGCTTCATGGGGAGCTTGCGCCTGTAGCCAAGCGAAACATTTGACCGTTTGACCAATAGTGTTTCTGAATCTTTTTGTTGTCTCGAGTCGTAAGCATGACGGCGATTAGGCAGCGAGAAGAACATCCAAACCCACAACCCCAGCATGCAAGATTTCCGTTGCTGCAAGGTGCCCAGATGACCCTTGTGACACAGACAGAAATTGGCGAGGATGAGGTCTTGCGGTGCGAGTAGTGCGATAAGTGGACGTTCTTGATATATGTGCACGTACCGTGTCAGGGCATGGGCTGCAAAGAGGAAGAAGAGGTGCTCTTGGGTTCCACTTGAGAGCTGTCAGCGCTTCTTTGCCCGCCAACCGCGCCCCTCTGGCCGCAGCTTCGAGGACTTGTGTGAAGGTTTGTGCACAGGTCAGGTATCCCGTCTCGGAAGCACCTGTGCGGCCAAAGATCCGTGGCACAACGGCAGGCACAACAACACTTCGTGAACATATATATATATATATATTATAGTACCAGTATTAGCATTAGCATTAGTATTCGTAATCGTGTTTGCAGAACCCCACCGTGTGCAAGGCTGAACGCACTCAAACTTGGAGCTCTAAACACATCTAGGGGTCTGAAACTCCGGAAAAACTAAACAACCAAGAAAACTAAGAACTAACACAAAGCTCATAGAAGCCAATTTTTGGAATTCGGGTTCATCATCTATAATTTTAAGCACGCCACCTTCTCTAACGATTCCGGTTCATCCGTCTTAACACGGCCCTCATGTGGCCATTCGATTTCATCATACATCTTCAACCCGCCCCCTCATCTGGCCATTCCGGTTCTTCTTTTACCTTCAACACTCCCCCCCATTTGGCGATTCGGAATCATCATATTCCTTAGACATGCTCCCCTCATTTGGCGATTCGGGCTCATCCTATGTCTCAAACACGCCCCCTCATTTGGTGCTGCCGGTTCGTCATATATTTTAAACACGCCCCTCCTTTGGCGGTTCCGACTCATCATTCTCATCATTTAGCTTATACACGCCCTCCGACCTCGTGCGATCTCGCTTCTCCACCTCGCCCACGAGTAAACACGCCAAAAAGGCGGCGGGGGGGGGGGGTAGTCGTTCGACTTGTCGTCCTAGTAGTAGCTGTCCACAGTAGTACTAGTTCTCCTAGTCGTGGTGGTAGTAGTAGTTGTAGTAGAAGTAGTGGTAGTAGTAGTCGTAGTAGAAGTGGGAGTAGTAGTAGTAGTAGTAGTAGTAGCAGTAGTAGCAGTAGTGGTGGTGGTAGTCGTCGTCGTCGTCGTAGTNNGTCGCAATCGGCAGTAGTAAGCACCCCTCCTTTCACAAAGGCGAACCCAATCCCGGCCCCTGCCTACTCGTCCAGTAGGAACCGCCCCCGAAGTCCCTCCCCACTATACTCCAGGAGTACGACCCAC